GTAGTTAATGGGCACATCTTTGTAAGCAGTTTAAGAAACAGCACGGTACATGTGCTTATTATTTTTATTTTGATTGAATAATAAAAGAGAATGCACCAGTATGGTCAAGCTGTGGTGAAATTAGTCATTCCCAGAAAGCTCACATGGCCTGCCTTAGACAGCCAAGCCTAGCTCTTTCATTTAAACATCTTACAGTAGTAGAACAATGCAGGAACATGTTGGCCTTCAAAAATTCAGAGACTAAATGTTTCTTTGGGGGAATGCCAAGTCTAGAAGTGGAAGAAATCTTTGGAGGGCACTTTTTCCATAGGAAGAGCTTCAGTGTTGTTTAGAGATGCTTTAAACAGGAAAAATAATAGGGGGAAAAAAACCTCTCCATGGCCCCCTCCATACACTGAAGTCCAATGCAATAAGTAGCAATGGATTATTATATCCTTTTGTCTGTATTAATGTGCATGTTGTTTTTAGTTCTGACCCTTCAATTCTGTGGGCTGGCAAGATGGTATTTTCTTCTCTAGTCCTACTTTCACTGGATGAATCATGCTCTAGCATGGAGTACAGGGAGGGGGGAGGTGTCACTGTGATGTTCCTTTAATTAGGTCCACAGAGAAGGAAGTGAGAAGTGCATTGTCTCCATCAAAGCCACAAGCATACATTGCTTATTTCTTTGTTTGGATTTTCATGCTGCTAAAGGGTTTGGTAACTTGACACTGGCTTAAATTAACTGAGTAACACATATGAACAGGCACCAAGAAGGTTCTTTTGATTAAGAAATCGTTCCATAAATTCCTAGAAGTTCTTGACCACATTGCTTAATACAGGGGTGGGCAGTAATTTCTGATGGAGGGCCACTCCGAGAATTTGGAAAGTGGTCGAGGGCCGCATGTTATTAATGGAGGAGATGCAGGATCTGGGATGGAGGCTGAATGCAGAAGAGGGCTTGGGGTAAGGAAGGGAGTTATAACCTGGGGCACTAGAATGTGGTTCAGGGGTTGGATTGTGACCTAAGGCAGGGAATTGGGGTACAGGAGGGCATGCAGGGGTTTGGGTTGTGATCTAGGGCAGGAGGGGACTGTGATCTGGGGCATAGGATTGGGGTGCCAGATCTGGATGGGGATATGGGTACAGGAGGAGGTCAGAGGATTTGGGTATGTGGAGTCGGGGGCAGAGGGTTGGGAGGGATTGGGGTGCCGGAGGCAGGCTCTGGCCAGGAGACTTACCAGCAAGCAGCCATTCCTGAATCAGTCTTGCTGTCTTCCCCTCTCCAGCACAGACTGCAGCCATGTGCTTTGGAGCCCCTCTTGCTTTGTGACTGCCTGTTATAGAAACAGGCATCTCCCATTGGCCAATTTCTGGCCAATGGGATTGTGCTGGGGGCAAGAGCAGCTCCTAAAGCTTTCCCCCCTCCCCTCTGGACTCACAGTTTTTAAAGAAAAACCGCCCCACAGTCATGTTTCTGAACAGCGTGCAGGTGTGGCAAGACAAGTGAGGAGCTTGCCTGGGACTCCCGCAGCATCCACAGGCCAGATCCAGTGGCTTGGAGGGCTGGATACAGCCCATGGGCCATATTTTGTCCAAGCCTGGCTGGCTTAATATATCAACTTTTTTATTTTTTGCTTTTACCTGTGGTGTGCACATCTGATTTATCCTATGCCTACAGTAATTAAATAAGATGTAAACTTGCTGACTGACTGTTACTTGACCTTAGTGTTCAAGGAGAATCCTTCCAAAACAAAATGGAGTTCTCCTGAATTCTCAGATCCTTTTTGATGTCATTTGCCCCCAATGGCTTGCTTAAATGAAATAATAACAGGAGACTCAAACAGATGTTTTCCAATAGCATGGCACATACATGAATAATTTGCTGACCATCCAGGTGTGTCTTCACTGAAGACTTAAATCACATGATTACTTGAGTGCTCCCCAACACCCACCTCCATCTGCACATAATCCTTTCACATGAGTTTAGTGGTACTAGCAGGCCCCGCTGGGAAAAGGCTGGAGCTCGCTTGCCATTTTCACTTAGGTTTGTAACACACCCACTGTTCAGTAAGGGTACGTCTACACTGCAGGGCTGAAGTCAAATTAAGCTACACAACTTCAGCTAATTCAGCTTTTGGTGCTGTCTACACAGCAGGAAGTCAAAGGAAGAACACTCCTCATGAAATAAGGGTCATCATAAGTCAGAGTAAAAAGTCTTCCAGCTCGACATTATTTCAAAATAAGGATTGTAGTGTAGATGCGCACTATGTTATTTTGGAATAATGTGAATTATACCAAAATAACACTGCTGTGTAGACGTATCCTAAGGGTGCAGGTTAAATCACTGAAGTGCTTGACAGTCCTCCAGTGCCTTCATAAATTTCCACACCACCACCTCAGGAACTCCGAAGAACAAGTTATCCCAAAATTCCCCGGAAAGAATCATAGAATGGCTAAGTTTATTGCAACACAAAAAACTTCAGGGCATGACCCCATGTCCTAGTGACAAATATGTGCAAGTGCATCAGCAGTAAAGGACACAGTCACACAAGTATGGCTTTGCACTGTGGTTCCTCAGAGGGATATGTTAATCCAGGCGCCAATCATCCAAGTTAATTCTTCAGTGAAGACATATACTCAATTTCATGTTTGGAAAACTTGAATTGTGTGCAAGAAAATACATCACACTTAAATTTAGCTTGGTTTTAGAAGCTTGCCCTTGCTTCTACTGATTTTTTTTTTAATATCCTTCATGTCATCCATTTTCAAAATGTACAAAAGTTAGTGATCCCATATACGTCAGGATAGGCAAAAACTGTACATACATTACTCAACCCTACAAATGTTTTACACATGTAATAATGCTTGTGCAAGTAACCACTCTGGCTTCAATGGGGCCACTTGCACAGGATCAAGGTCCTTATTAAACAAAATTCACATTCATTACAAATTGCTATTATTTTTACATTGAATGGTAGCAGGTAGACTTATGACCACATGTTTGGGCTGTGCTAGCAGCACACATAGCATGCAGAGGCCCCTTCTCAAGGGGTGCGTGGTGCAGAAATGCACGTGATCCCAATAATCGGCTGCTTCAGACTGGCATGCATGCTGGGTTGCTGGTTGGGAGCCACCTAGGGTAAGAACCTCCCAGCCAGAGCCTGCACCTGCATCACACTCTCTCCTGCACCCCAGCCTTCTGCCCTGCTCCTGCACCCTTCCCCAGGTTACAACCCCTCCTGCATGCAAATCCTCTGCACCCTTGCCCCAGGTCACAACTCCCTTCCAGACTCTGCACCCCTCTTACATCCCTCCCCCAGGTCAGAATCCTCTCCTGCACTGCTCCCTACTCCTGCGCCCCTATCCCCTGCTCCAGGTCACAATCTGCTTCTTCATCCAAACTACCTCCCAAATCCCACATTCCCTCCTGTATCCCAATCCTCTACCACAAGTTCTCTTCTTCACCCAATCTCCATCCCAGATCACACACATACTCATCAAAAAGTATGGCTTTTGACCACTTAACAAATTCTTGGAGTGCCCCCATCATCGGAACTTATTGCCCACCCTTCTCCTAGATCCATCTCATGTCAACAGGTGAGCAAAAACATTTTCAAACTGTTTAAGTGTTGTAGCTCACCATTCAATTGGCAAATATAAAGGAAAACTGAAATCATTCAATGTAAACATAACTAATAAAAAAAACCCTAAGCAAATAAATCATCACTGAAACCTTCCACTTTAAATAATTTCGCTTGAAAATTATTTATGCAAAGTATCGCTAGATACTCTTATTGAAGTCAAATCACTTCTATCTCCTATAATTTTGGCTCCCAATATGGAAAAAAATCAGAAATTATAGAATGAAAATAGGTAATTTGATTTCTAAAACAAACTATGTAAGCCAACACACCCCGTAATACTTCATTTAAGCACTTATTTAAAACTTCCATGGGGCCAAAGTGTTCTCTGTTATCCTTGTGAGACTCTATATATTAAGAATAGCTCCACTGAAATGAAGACTTTTTCTAGTGTTAAGGCCTCACTCTGTAAACACGTGATACTCAGTGTGATGCTTCTACCTTGAGCAATGTCATGGTAATGATTGCATTATTGGGCCCTTACACTAGCACAAGGAAGAGCATGATTTGGACCTTCTCACTCACATCAACTTTCCACTACTTGCAAAGCAATACTCTGTCTAATTCATTGATAAACATGTTTAGATTTTTTCCTACAAATCTTTCATTTTATAAGATGTGTGAAAAAATATTTCAATTACAAATAGGGAATTAATATCAGTATAATTTTTTTATTTTTCCTGGCTGTCAGAAATTATTGTAGGTGATTCACAAAATTGCCTGCTAGTTCACACATGATAGACATACATACATGATTATAAACTAGCAGGAGAGAAAGCTCCTTATGGAAGGGGGAAGTAGCTGTCCCACTAAAATCAAGGGTATTAAGTTCAAACCTTAGATTTAATATTAGGTGCTGCACACCCTTACTGCTAAGAGCTGAAAAGGGCTCAAGTGAAGGAGTAAAAGAGTGAATACTACACAAACCAGTAAAATGCTAAAATGTACTTAATTGCTTTCCTGGAAATGCACAGCTGAGTTAAACTGTCAATGAGAAAAGTGTATAAGCCTGTAAAAATTTCTGGTAAATATCTAGTGACAGTTTTTCTTAAAATCAGGTCTGATTACTAGTTTGCATAGTAAGTGTAAACATAGTAGAAAAATCATGAATATTTGCAGAAATAATCTGCTAAACCTTCAAACCAGTCTTCCTCTCGACAATGGCTAGCTAATGATAACAGTGTCCCCTTGCTTTCCACAAGGCTGAACTAATTTCTAAGTCTGGCACACGTAAGCTTTCGCCAGCAATCACTGCCGTGTATTAGCAGCAAAAGGCAATGTCATCAGAGCTTTTGGGGCAGTCATGCTCCTCTCCCACTTTTTCCACACACCCCACATTTCCCCTCCTCCCACCAGTCGTCCACTACTGAGCTGTACCTTCTGTGTGGCAGCTGCAGGCGAGGACGGTGTTCGGAGGTCTGAAGATGTAAGGCAGGTAACGAGAAAAGCATTTCATCTTCCAAAAATAAATTTAAAAATTAAAATAAACCAAGTCTCCTCAGTCCATGAGAAGTCCGTCTGCTTTCAAAGCAGACCGCATGGTAGGTACATTACAGGACCCCTCCTGGGTCTGCAGAGCTGGGAAACCCAAGTAATCGCTGTCGCCGGACCCCATTTTGCTATCAGCAGCAAGCACCAGGAAGAGAGCCGCCTCACATTTCTGCATGCATGCTGCTCGAACTCTGAAGCCCCCAAGCAAGCTGGGATAGGCTCTTCATTGGCTGGAGCTCATCAGAGCAGGATTTGCTGACTAAGTCAGTCCTGCCTGTAAACACACACCCTGAACAACACTGCCCGCAATATCCTGCTCTCCTTTAGGTCTCTGTTTGTCTTCTTAGAAAGAAGGAAAAACAGCAGAGTCTGGGAACAGGGAGACTCTGTGACCTTATCTCATTCTGGGTAAAGGTCTTAATGTAACCAAAGCTTTATAACTTTGTCATCTGAGGGAAGGCAGCTGTTAAAATAAATAACCCAGGGAAGATGTGGATTTCAAGAAAAATAAGAGAGGATGCACGGAAATGGTTTCTGCCCTTGTTTTATTAAAGAACTGGGGGAGTGTTGAAAAACAAAAAAGGCATTTAGTTTTTAACCATAGCTGCAGCATAAAAACATCCTATGTTTACAGGGAGCCTTTCATTTCAAATAGTGATAGAAATGTAGCCGTGTTAGTCTGGGGTAGCTGAAGCAAAATGCAGGACAATGTAGCACTTTAAAGACTAACAAGATTGTTTATTAGATGATGAGCTTTCCTGGGCCAGACCCACTTCCTCAGATCAAATAGTGGAAGAAAATAGTCACAACCATATATACCAAAGGATACAATTAAAAAAAAGTGAACACATATGAAAAGGACAAATCACATTTCAGAACAGGAGGGGGATGCAGGGGGGGGAAGGAAGGAAGGTAAGTGTCTGTGAATTGATGATATTAGAGGTGGGGAGAGTGGGATGTTTGTGAGTTAATGGTATTAGAGGTGATAATTGGGGAAGCTATCTTGGTAATGGGTAAGATA